ACTTTTTTTTTCAAATAAATAATCATCATCAAATTCTATATTAAACAGTATGCAATTTGATTTGCCTTTTTTTTGTTAAAATCGGTTTTGTATTGTTGGGTTTTCAGGGTTTTAAAAAGTGTTTGACCTTTATATAAAAAAATTTCTTGGTATCAATATTTAAAAAATATTTTTTTGATATTCTCCATACCTTTTTATCCAATTTATTCATTTGTTTTAATTTTTAAAATCCCACAAAAATTAAAGATGTAACAATAAATGAACTAAAGATGTTCGGAATCAGGAAAATTTATGGTTTTTAGGAGATAACTATTTATTTGTCATCCAGTTTATAATGAAGTATTAAAAACACATTTATCAATTGACATTATCCGTTTAATAAAGTGTAAAAAATAACTTTTTTAATGCCAAAAAAAATATATTTTTACTTCTTTTTTATTTAATGAGACAAAACTTGAGCTCTTCCTGCTAGCATTACTATTGGATGAAGAAACATGACTAGAGCTTGCTTTAAACCCTGAATCTCTTACATCTAAAGCAAGCACTCTAACCAGTGCGCCATGGTTCTTTGTTTAAAGAACCTGTAGAACCTATTTCTTTTTACTTCTAGGTTGCCTTTTAAAAATATGCAACAATAAAAAGATTTTTGGTGTAAAAACTTAGCTTGAATGTCAGGTCTCTGTATATAATATGAAACTTGTTGCTCCTAGAGTTACGTTGCTAAGTAGTTTCATAACGTATCTTATAATTATTATAATTATTTTTTAACTAATAGAGTTTAAAATAATACATGTGCATTATTTAACAGTTTTAGCCAACAATTTCTGTAATTTTTTCTTTTTTAACTTTAAGCATTTTACTGTTTTTTTTATACTTTAGCATTTATACTTTTAGCATTTTATTGTTTATTTTTGTTTTTTCTATACTATAATCTTTGTTACAAATGCATGGTAGCAGGGGCGGACTTAAACCCCGTCAAGTGCTGCAAGTGACGGGGTAAAAAAACAAAAATAAATATAAGTATTATGACGTCCAACGCCCGCCTAAAGTTAATTACCGATCTATATAATTTTGTTAAAAAATATAATTAGAAAAAGTTTACAGTATAAACTATGCTTTGCAGACGTTTGAAAAAGTGTTTTATAAAAATTGCTAATGTAAACTATACTTTGCAGGGTATTAGAAAATTATTTTATAAAACTTGCTAATGTAAACTCTACTTTGCAGGATATGAGAAAATTGGATAAGTTCATTGGTTTACGCTATTAAAAGTAGCAATTTGATTCGTTTAAAAAAAAAACATGTTTAGTGTAAACTATCCTTTGCAGCATTTGCAGCAGTACTTTGATTGGTTGCAAAGATCGATAAACAATTCAAAAGAACTCAAGGAACTCAATGAACTCAGTTCTGATAACAATTTCCTTTAAATATTAACGTATAAGCATGGCTTACAACTTGATTGATGATGTACTTAAAAGATTTAAAACCGATAATCTTGTCGATTTAAATACTTTTTATGAAACTTTATTGGATACATTTATTTACAACAATAACAAAATGGTTAGTAACGAAGGTCTTTTAAGTCGTTTTATTGATGGCACAATAAGAAGAAATATATGTGCCGAAGTTTGTATCCCTTCTTACTTAAAAGACAATAAAATGCATTGTATTGCTCTAAGGTAAGTCAATTTACTTTTTTTTTCAAAAATAATTATCTTATTTTATTTTATTACAAAATTTAATACTTTTTTGTAAAAATGTTTATTGTTAATACCGTATTAATCTAATCTATAAAAAAATCTCGTTGACTAATCAATATTTAATGTGTCAACACCGTCAAATGATTTTGACATGTATGAATATAATATGTTCATGATGTATGTATTAAATTTCTACATATCAAAATCGGGTAAAGCTACAGTTACGCGGCCTAAAATAATTATATTTTTGCCAGAAGGTTTTGCTACATCGACTATCTTATAGCCTGACTCGCAACGGAGTGCTGCTACATCGACTATCTTATAGCCTGCTGCTACAAGGAAGTGCTGCTACAGCCACTGAGGGTTTGGCATGGGGAAGCAATCTTTTTTCTTTTATTATATCGATGTAGCAAAACCCCCTGGCAAAAATAAAATTATTTTAGGCCGCGTAACTGTAGGATTACCCAAAATCGTTTGTTGGTTTGTCTGAATTCTTGACTATTGATTTGATTTATGAATTTGTTCAAAAAGCAAAGATTTTTTACTCAATTTTAAATTTATTGATAAAAGAAGTTTAGATCTTAAAAACATGAAGTAAATATATATATTTTTTCTTAAGGTCTAAAGCATCTGGAAGTTGTATGTACAGCTCTGGATCATTATTTTTTGTTGCTGACAATACACTGATTAAGAGTTTTAACATCCCTTGAAATTTATTTACATGCTGATTATTACTGTAAGCATCCTTTATTTTCTGATTATAGTTCTCATTTTATTAATCTCAAAAGTTTATTGTGTATGTCAGTATCTTATTCTGCATTAGATTCTGGCTTCGAAAATATTGATATTATTAAAGCTGAAGCAATTGCAAACTGTGAGAACACAGAAAAATGGGCTGGTTTTTTATGTTTGTTAGGTTTATCATCAGTTTTTTCTTGTAATATTTTTTCCTGTTACCCAGATTTCGGTGTTGAAAAGTATAAAATATTTTTAAACCAAGAGATCTCACCACGTACTCCCATTAAATTTTTTTCCCTATTTTACATTTTGTTTTGTTATGATGGGAATTTTAAGTCAGATACATTTCAGCATAATCACTATGTCCCAATAATTTTTATTCCTAAAAAAGCGTAAACTTTCCAGTAAATCAAAAACAACAATTTCGAAAAAATTGCTGCCAGTCTTGTCACCTAATAAATCTGTACTATCTGAAGTTCGCAAAAATGTTTTTTTTTCAATAATTGCAGATGAAGCCTGTGACTCATCTACTAAAGAGCAAATGTCATTAGTTTTACGATTTGTTGATAGTGATTTCAATATCAGAGAAGACTTTATTCAATTTATTCATTGTAGTGAAGGAGTCAAAGGAAAAGATTTGTTTAATGTTCTTTTAAATTGTGTAAGCAACTTAAATCTAGATATAAAAAACTGTAGGGGTCAGGGATATGATGGAGCCAGTTCTGTCTCTGGGTATATAAATGGTCTTTCTGCTCAGGTTCTCAATATAAATTCAAAGGCTTTGTATACACATTGTCATAGCCATCGACTGAACTTATCAGTTCGTGAATCGTGTAATGTCCATTTAGTTTCAGAGGTTTTTAATAAAGTTCGTGAACTTTCTTATTTTTTTAATTATTCAGAAAATAGACAAAAGTTTTTAGAAGCTAGCATTTTAGAGCGAGAACCTCAAACGCATAAAAAAAAAATTAAAAGATATCTGTAGAACTAGATGGATTGAGTGTATAGATGGTTTAAACACTTTTCTTAAGCATTATTTATCTATTTTCCATGCTTTATGTATCATGGCTTCCCCTGAGAGTTCTGTTAACAAAGACACACAAAACAAATCTTCTACTTTTTTAAATTCCATTGGCACTTTTCAATTCGTCTTTACTTTAGTTGTGACAACACGTGTCTTTGATTTTACTTTATGTGTTACTCGGTTACTGAAATCAAAAGCTATTGATATCTTAGACGGTTTGCACCTTAATACAGCTCTTAAAAATACATTTATTTCCATCAGAAACGATATAGATAGTTTTCATAATAACTGCTATGAAGCAGCATATTTGCTTTCAAGTAAAGCTGAAATTTTTGTTTTAAAACCAAGAACCTGTTCTATTCAAAAAAATCGTTTTAATGTTCCATATGAGTCTGTTTCAGAATACTTCAAAAGAGCTGTTACTGTCCCTCTAATAGATCATGTATCTACATCTATATCTACAAGATTTAAATCAGAAACTGTAGCTACATATAAAGGGTTATCAATTATTCCATTTAATATTATTTCTTTTCTTAAAAGACTCAAAACCCAATTGTGTTGGAGGAAGCAGTTTGAATCATTCTGTGATTTTTATATAGATGATTTCCCTAATATCAGTGCCTTGAATGGGAACTAGTTCTTTGGGAAAAATACTGGGAAAGTTTCTCTGGGACTATTCCTGACAATATATCTTTAACTTTTAAAATGATATCATTTTCTGGATTTGAAAATATTAAGGTAGCTTCAAGGATACTTGGGACACTTCCTGTTACTTCATGTGAGTGTGAGAGGAGTTTTTCTGTTATGCGTCGGTTAAAAGACTATATGAGAACAACAATGTCAGAAGATCGACTTAACGGTTTGGCATTAATGTATATCCATCAAGAAATTGTTCCTTGTATTGGTAATGTTATCAATAGATATCAATAGAAAATAGACGACTTGATTTCAATGATTAGTGTCTATACTGTTTATTTTATAACACACCAACAAAATTTGAAGTTTTTGTCCATTATCACCTCTCTTCATATAACAGCTAACAAATAGGCATGGAAACCCCTGAAAAGGCCAAGAATTCAATGGTGTCCTTAACAGGACGGGTTAAATATAACCCCATACTTTTGTTTGGGATAAGCTATATGATTAGTGATCATAGTTCAGGCAAACATTAACCATCTCTTTTTGTTTTTTTAAGCAGATTTTTTTAGCAAGTTTTTTTAGCAGATTTTGTTATGAATTTAGCTCTTTGAGAAAATATGGAATATTTGTAAATGGCAATCACTTTAATATACATGCTAAAGCTTTTGTGTGTGATGCACCAGCACGTATATTTATAAAAAGTATCAAAGGGCACAATGCTTATTATAGTTGTTTTGATGCATTCAAAAAGGAGATGCATTCAAAAAGGAGAACGTTTTGACATCAGGACAGTATTTCTTGAGGTAAATTCAATCAGGAGAACAGACGCTTCATTTGCGTGTTATGAACAAGAAGATCACCATAAACTTGACGTTGTTTTACCATTATTAAAACTAAATATTGATCACGTTTCACAATTTCCGCTTGAGTATATGCATCTTGTCTGTCTTGGCGCAACACGCAGATTATTACTGCATTGGCTACGAGGTAATCGACTTGTTAAAATAAGTATGCGAATTGCTGATTTAATATCAAATGAAATAAACACTATAGCTTCACATGTTACTGTTGAATTTTCACGCAAACCACGATCATTAAAAGAAATTGATAAATGGAAGGCTACTGAGTTTAGGTTGTTTCTGTGCTATATAGGACCTGTAGTGTTGCGAAGTAATCTTGAAGATAAATTATACAATTACTTTATGCTTTTGAATGTAGCGATTGCCATTTTAATTAGTCCTGCTTTTTATTTGACATATATTGACTATGTAGAAAAGCTCATTAATGAGTTTGTTAAACAAATGCCAATTTAATATGGGAAATGCTCTTTAAATTACACAATGCACAGCATTTCTCACATTTGTGATGACGTAAGAAAATTTGGTCCTTTAGACGAATATAGCGCATTTCCATTTGAAAATACTTTAGGCACAATTAAACGAATGTTAAGATCTGGCAGAATGCCACTCCAGCAGTTGCGTCGACGTATATCAGAAAGAGAAGAAATAGGCAATAATCTAATCACCCAATCTGGCGATTTTCAAACACTTCTTAAAAAATTTTACAATCAAGGTCCAATATTAGGATATTGTGGAAAAGAATACAATGGAGTTTTCTATGCTGGGTTTAATTATTCCACATTAAATTGCAACAATAGCGCTTTACTTAAAAATGAAAGTGTTGTTGTAATCATTAACATTATTGAAAGTGATGAAGTTATGATTGTTACAAAAGTATTTGGTGTTAAAAAGGGATTTTACAATTATCCTTGTAATTCTTCTCAGCTAAAAGTATTTCGAGTAACAAAATTGTCAGACCAATTGTTTGCATTTCCTTTGACCACAATAACAACAAAATATTTATTATTTCCAAAAGGAAAATATTTTGTTGCTTTTCCATTGTTGCATCATAAATTTGCAGACATTTAATATTATATTTAGATATTGCAAATTTTTCTTTTATATTTTATTTTTAGCAACTGATATTTTTGATAAGCAACTTTTTTGCAACTTTGCAAATGATATTTTTGTTGCCATTGGGCACCGCATTTATCAGTTGCAAAGTCATGTATATGAATTAAATATATTTTCAATACCACGTATATACCACATATACTAATTCTAAACAGGTTTAAAGTTGCCAAGATTTAATGCTCTTTTATTTTTTATTTTTGTAGTAATGGAGAAGTTTTAATAAAAGTTCCCAATATTATATTTATTATAATGTCGTATTATATATTTTTATAGTATTTTTATGATGTTGCTGATAATAAAATTCTGTGAATTAAAAGTTCTAGTTTTTTAATTATTTTTGTACTTTTGCTTATTGTTGGTTTAATGCCATGTTTTTAATGAGTTATAAGTATTGGGTGATCACTTGTGCATTTCAGCACCTCTAGTAAAACTATGTAAAAACAATTAGTTTAGATTTTATCAGAATATATATTTCAGCTTTTTTTTTTCCTCATCAGATTGCATACTGCATCTGACTACATTAAAATATAGAGTTTTTAAAATCAGTTTGTTGTTAAATGTATATACTTAATTTGTTAAAATTTAACTATACTTTTAATTTAATAATCAAATTATGAAAAACTTATCTACAAAACATTTTTCTTTAGAGGTAAAATTATTCAATGGCCAACGTATTTCCTGTGTCAAAAGAGTTCAAAAAATATGTTGTTGTAGGATTTATAAAGGAAAAAAAAACAAGGAGTATGTGCTATGGAGATTATATGCTCGTTTGGCTAATAAACAACCATATTAATTACTGGCCAAGTAATCTTCAATTATCATCAAAGATAATGAAAGCAACACAAGATAATGTAACACCAAACAGGAGCTGGAAGCAGCTGAAAATCCGTATTCTATATGAAACTGGTATTGGTTAACTTAAATAAAAAGTTTGGGTTTAATCCTTAACCCAAACTTTTAAAGGAGGGTGATCACTATGTGAATGGGGTGTTGAAGACGAAAAGTGTGTATGTTCAATATTTTATTTATAGTTCATAAAAAAACCTGATTTATTTTTATTTATTTTAATAAAATTTCTTTTGAATAATAATGTTAACAAAGAAATATGAAAAGCTAGCAACAGAAAAAGTTTTTAAATAACAATTATAAGAAAGTAATTTTATAATTTAAAAAAAAACATTATATAAGTTTATTGGATTACAGGATTATGTATTAAATGTGAAAGTAAAGGTAGTAAATGAAATAGTTGAATTTCTTATTTTTTATAGACAGTTATGAAGCAGCATTTCAGAAAATTGAAATACTGGCATATACTTCAAATGCAGAAACATATGAAGATAGCCTAGATGAATCACCTCCATTAAAAAATTCTAGAGGAAAGCAACTTAAATTTAAAAAAAAAAGCATCTAATAAACACTGATGAAGAAGATGGTAATGAAGATGACTTGTTTGACCAAACCGAAATTCCTCGCTTTTTATCACAGCCAGTTGTTACAGATGAAAATAATATATCAACATCTATCGCTACTATTGGGACAAGATTTGCTTGTGATTATATTTAACATTTGTTTCACCGATTCTTTTATAAATTTTTATATATTTTTTTGTAATGAATAATGAAATAAAATTTTATTTATGTTTCTTGGAAATTATAGTCATAATTTATAATTTGAATTGTAGTGTTTGAAAAAAAAAATTTTGAGCTTCTAACAAGCATCCAATATGAAATAAAGAAAATCAACTCCAAGATCAATAATAAAGAGAAGTATTTAAATACTAATTTACTTCATGGAGTTGCTGTTACTCAGAACAAAATTTCATTTCTTGAATGGAATTGTTTGCCAATTCAAACGGAGGAGGAACTGGTTGTCCTGGAACATAAACTTCGAGATAAAGATAACTTAGAATCTTTGGTATACTGTTTGCAATTAAGTTATACCTAAGTTATATTTCATAAAAAAATCTAAGCTTTTGTAAATTATTGAACTTAACTGGAGTATTTAGTGTGATTTTATTTAGATAACTATTTAACAGCTGTAGGAGGTGAAGATTACCAACATATGACAAGTGCTATTATGGGGAAGCTGCTCTCCCCAAAAACATCATTATTATATTCAACCTATGGCAAAAAAGGGAAAAAATCTTTTGCTGCTCTTACATCCTGCCAGGTTGTTATTGGTAAGGCATTGTGTATATGTGTGCGTGTATTGGTTGTTGTTGTCAAGAAATTGTAATTAATTGAATACTCTAATAATTACTAAATACTAATTAACAATGCTATATATATAAATATATATATATATATATATATATATATAAATGCATATATATATATATATATATATAAATATATATATATATATATATATATATATATATAAATGCATATATATATATATATATATATATATATATATATATATATATATATATATATATATATATATATATATATATGTATATATATATATATATATATATATATATATATATATATACATGTATATATATATATATATATATGTATATATATATATATATATATATATATATATATATATATATATATATGTATATTTATATATGTATATATATATATATATATATATATATATATATATATATATATGTATATATATATATATATATATATATATTTGTTTATATGTTTATATATATATATATATATTCATATATATATATATATATATATATATTATATTTGTTTATATGTTTATATATATATATATATATATATATATATATATATATATATATATATATATATATATATATATATATATATATATATATATATATATATGTTTATATGTATATACACACTAAGAATTATTTAAGTTTTAGTGCTTGTATAAATAACTTTTTTCTTTTTGTAGCTGCAGTAAAAAGAAAATATTCGGACTCTAACGAGAAGCACATTAAAGTGCGTATTGGTAGGTTTTTAGCACAATCAAGCGATCGAGAAGGAGGGCGAAAACGGCGCCTCGAAAAAAGCGATTTTCGAATTGAAGAAAATAGTTCACCAACGGTTGAAAAATGTTTACTATCGGCTGAAAAAAGTTTTTCCAACTAAATAAAACATTAAAATTAGGAATTTTTCAATTTAAATTCAAAGTATATAAACTTTCAGATTTATTAATATATTCAACACTTGAGTTGATATATTTTTGTTTATATACATATGTGTATATAATTATATATTAATTCAAAAAAAGTCTTTTTTTCTTAAAGTGTTCCATGATCCCTGTCTCCTAGATTCCCTGTTAGACTCAAAAAACCTGTTTAACTCAAAAAAATAATGCAGCCTGTTGCTATAGTATTATTTAAACAAGAAAACTGTTGTAAAATTTAATTATTAAAAATTTATAAATAACAATTTTCTCTTTCATTAATTTTAATGATAAAACTTTAACCAAAGACACTCAATATTAGCTTAATAGAGTTTACAATATTGACTTGATATTGTAAACTATATTCCGCTAATATTGAACAGTATTATATCAGCAATATTGGCGCAATATTATTTACAATATTGGCGCGATATCGTAAACATTATCGCGCCGATATTGCAATGTGAACATTTTGCCAATATTGGCCAATATCGACAATACAATATTAACACAATATTGTACTGCTAATATTGGCCAATATTGACTCAACAATATTGGCATATAATTGTACTGCCAATATCGACCGATATTAGCAAAATGTTCACACTTTAATATTGGCCTGATATAGTTTACAATATTGCGCCAATATTATAAACAATATCGCCCCAATATTGTTTGCTACTAGGGTGGTTTCATAACGTGAACATGGAATACTTCGCTGGTTAGAGTTAATGGGGTTTTATAATATTTACTATTCAACTGCATATAACTGTTACATGTCAATTATGTTTCATATAATGTTACATTTAAAGATCTTAACGTAAAAATTTGCTTAAGGATAAGATAAAATTGATTATTTTTATAATAGGTTGGATAAAATTGACTTATTTCTGTGAAGGTTTGTATTTGTATATTAAAACTTTTTTTTTTTATATAAGAAACCAAGCAAACGGGTCAGTACTAGAAAGTTTCTTATTTTAAGAGTACTTTTTTCTAAAATATAGTAGTAAAATTTTCCTTAAATTCAGAGTATTAGCAACCGCCAAAGAAATGTAAACGCTAATACAAACGAGGTATACTTCTTAAACATTTTCTTATAAGCAACAGATTTTATAAACCAGTGTATTTGGTCTTTAATTTCATTGTTTTTTATTTTAGATTTCCAAAGGAAAAGACCAAGAATTATTAGAATTAATAAAACTTAATTCTAACTAATGAGAGTTTTTTTTTTTACCTTTAAAAGCATTTCAATTACCTTTAAAATGCTTTTAAAAAATGTATTTTCTTATTTAAATTATCAAAATAAGCGTGAATTTTATAAAACATCTTTTTACGTTCGTATACGTTTTTACGATAAAATATCTTTTTACGTTCGATCAAAATTCAATTTACATAAAATTTATTTGAAAAGTTAGATACTAAATCGTCGAAAAAAAATATTTTTTTAATCTTAAGTGTTTAAATTGACTAATATTTGATTATTTTATAACTTAATACACATTTTTTTTAACCACTACAGTTTTCAGGCGTTTACAAACCATCGTTTGAAATTTATTTTAGGTAACAACAACTCGGAATCTAAACATTGACTTGTGATAAAGTTAAAAAAAAAAACAAAAACAAACCTTCCAGTTTATTGACTAAAAAATTATTTAATAAATGCTTTAAAACTAAAGTTTCTTGTATTAACCTTATTCCTCCAATAAAAAAAATAAAAAAATAAAAAAGTTTATAAGAAAAAAAAAGAGCTTTATTCAGTTGGTGAACTAAAGTGTGCACCAACCAAAAAACCTTAGTGCACTAACTAAAAAAATAAATAAAAAAAACCTTTTCCACGCCGAGAGACAAATCTCAAATCCTCGGTTAACCAACTCGAAGCGATATTTATTCGGCCACGCTGAAATTGCTTGTTCAGGGTATAATATATAAGAAAAATAATTTTTTTTGCATTTTTGTATCGCAAGAATAGCTATCAAATGAATATCATGTTTAGGATACATAGTGTACAATTTTACAGGAAACTGTAGGGGTGCAAAAATAACATTACACAGACTGAAAAATATTAATTAATTTAATACTAACGTATTAAATTAATTAACACTTAATATTAAATTAACTAATACTATTATTCATGTACTTATGTATTTTTACGTTTTTATGTAGCAAAAAGAATATAAGTATTTTAACGATTAAAAGACGTTTTTTTTATATTATTTTAGTTACATTTTTTATACATTTATTTTGATAAAAAAATAACTCTATTAACTAAAAATAGTTAATAGAGTAAACTATTTTTAGTTAATATAATGTTCGTAGTAATGCCATTACTACGAACATTTCTCTCCTTTGAGACAAGAATTACCATAAAAGAAAAAAAAGTGTAACAAGGCTTAATTTAATACATGTTTTGATTTTGTTCGGAGAAATTCAGTCACACACAAAAAGCGTTAAATAACCACCTTTTCTATTAAATTTTTTTTTTGTTTTTTTGCCAGGGTGAAATTTTGCAACCCACTTTTCGATTTGTTAGATCTCTAAAACTTTTACTTTAAGCTCAGAACCCGATAAAAATGCAATATTAAAGTACTTTGAAGAAAATACAAATTCGGCATAATACGCCAAATTTCAATTTTCTAACTTTATAGTTAGAATTAAGTTTTATTAATATAATAAATCTTGGTCTTTTTCTATGGAAATCTGAAATAAAAAACAATGAAATTAACGACCAAATACTCTAATTTATAAAATTTGTTGCTTATAATAAAATGTTCAAGAAGTATACCTCGTTTGTATTAGCGTGTAAAACACTTTTTAAAAACTAATAACTATTATAAACTTTTTTAAAAATATTTTAAAAATTATTTTGAATTTAATTAAAAATATTTTATTTTTAAATAAATTTAAAAATAAAATATATTTTTTAAAATTGTTAAAAAATATTATTATATTTTATTAATTAAAATTATTCTTGGTTTTTTCTTTTGAAAATCTAATATAAAAAGCAATGTAATTAAAGACTACATACACTGGTTTATAAAATTTGTTGCTCATAATAGAACATTCAAGAAGTATACCTCGTTTGTATTATCATTTCTTTGGCGGTTGCGAATACTCTGAAATTAAGGAAATTTTTAGTATTCCATCTTAGAAAAAAGTACTCTTAAAATAAGAAACTTTTTAGTACTGACCCGTTTGCTTGGTTTCTTAAAAAAAAAAAATTTTTTACAAATACAAAAGTTCAAGCAAAATATATATTTATTTATTTAAGCATAATGTGATAAAGAATTCGAGACTTTGTGCCCTCATCAAGTAAGAATATTTACACTAAACATTTATGATTCATGATAGTATTAAAAATCAACTATTATCAAGTATTCATACCTTGCACAACACGAGCAGTATAAATAACATAACAAAAACGTAACAGCAAGTTATCCATGTCGTTACTAACTAGTTTTTGTCAAAGATTGTCAATTTCTGAAACACTCATATTACATAATTGCTATTTATAAACTAAAATTCAGAAACAATATGATTATAAAATTAATCAATTTAAGATTGTTTTTCAAAACACCTTAATGTAATTTAAAAAAAGCCCGATTTAAAAATGAATAATTAGGAGTGAAACGTTTTTTAAAACTAATAAGTTTTATGAACTTTATTTGAACTCTTTGAAAATATGTTTTAATTAATGTTTGTAGACATCTAAACTAGCATATTTTGTAAAAATGTCAAAAATGATTTTTTTTTATTTTAAGGTGTTTTGAAAATCGGTTTTAGTATAAGTCAATAACATATTTTCAAAAACAATTGACTTTAATTTTAGGTACGTAAACAAATTACGTAAAAAAGGCAAATCGCATATTGTGTTAAAAAAACTAATTAAAATGTACTTCTGTTTTGAAAGTATTTTCGAACGTATAAGTTTGCTTAAATTACGAAATTAATAAAACTTTATAAACGTAAAATTAAAAACATAAAACATAATTTAAGACTTTATCCGACAAGTAATATTTATTCTTTTCCTCACTTCATTTTTATAGCGCTTTTTTAACTAAAAATTGCCATTACCACGAACATTTCTCTCCATTGAGACTAGAATCACAATAAAAGAAAACAAAGTGTTTCAAGGCTTTATTTATTACAATTCTTAAGTTTGTTAGGAGAAATTCAGTCATAAACAAAAACGTTATTTTACCACGTAATTTTTATTAAATTAATTAAAACCTAATATTTAATTAACTCATGCTATTTTTTATGTACTTATGTATTTTTACGTTTTTATGTAGCATAAATAATATAAGTATTTTAACGTTTAAAAGTCTTTTCATTATATTATTTTAGATACATTTTTTTCATATTTGTTTTTATAGAAAAATAACTCCTAAATATTTAGAATTAAGTTTTATTATGATAATTTTTGGACTTTTTCTTTGAAAATCTAATATAAAAAACAATGTAATTAAAGACTACAAACACTGGTTTATAAAATTTGTTGCTTATAATAAAATGTTCAAGAAGTATACCTCGTTTGTATTAGCGTTTACATTTCTTTGGCGGTTGCAAATACTCTGAAATTAAGGAAAATTTTAGTACTATATTTTGGAAAAAAGTTCTCTCAAATTGATTTTAAAATAAATCAACTTGATTTTGTTTTTTAAAACACCTCTATGTAATTCGAGAAAATCCCGATTTAAAAAAATAAATATTAGGAGTAAAACACTTTTTAAAACTAATAACTTTTATAAACTTTTTTGAAAATATTTCAAAAATTATTTTGAAATTCATTTAAAAATGGTAAATTTTAAAATAAATTAAAAAATGAAATATATTTTTTAAAATTATTCAAAAATATTATTATATTTTATTAATTATAATTATTCTTGGTTTTTTCCTTTGAAAATCTAATATAAAAAGCAATGTAATTAAAGACTACATACACTGGTTTATAAAATTTGTCGCTCATAATAAAACATTCAAGAAGTATACCTTGTTTTTATTATCATTTCTTTGGCGGTTGCGAATACTCTGAAATTTAGGAAATTTTTAGTTCTCCATCTTAGAAAAAAGTACTCTTAAAATAAGATACTTTTGAGTACTGACCCGTTTGCTTGGTTTCTTAAAAAAAAAAAAAAAAAAAAAAATTTTTACAAATGCAAAAGTTCAAGCAAAAGATCTATTAATTTTAATTATACGTATTTATTTATTTAAGCATAATATGATAAAGAATTCGAGACTTTGTGCCCTCATCAAGTAATAATAATTACACTAAACATTTATGATTCATGATAGTATTAGAAATCAACTAAAAACAAGTATTCATACCTTGCACAACACGAGCAGTATAAATAACATAACAAAAACGTAACAGCAAGTTATCCATGTCGTTACTAACTAGTTTTTGTCAAAGATTGTCAATTTCTGAAACACTCATATTACATAATTGCTATTTATAAACTGAAGTTCAGAAACTATATGATTATAAAATAAATCAATTCAAGATTCTTTCAAAACACCTTTATGTAATTTAAAAAAAGCCCGATTTAAAAATAAATTATTAGGAGTGAAACGTTTTTTAAAACTAATAAGTTTTATGAATTTTATTTGAACTCTTTGAAAATATGTTTTAATTAATGTTTGTAGACATCTAAACTAGCATATTTTGTAAAAATGTCAAAAATGATTTTATTTTTTTTAAGGTGTTTTGAAAAACGGTTTTAGTATAAGTCAATAACATATTTTCAATAACAATTGACTTTAATTTTAGGTACGTAAAAAAGGCGACTCGCATATTGTGTATTAAAAAAACTAATTAAAATGTACTTTTGTTTTGAAAGTATTTTCGAACGTATAAGTTTGCTTAAATTACGAAATTAATAAAACTTTATAAACGTAAAATTAAAAACATAAAACATAATTTAAGACTTTATCCGACAAGTAATATTTATTCTTTTCCTCACTTCATTTTTATAGCGCTTTTTTAACTAAAAAATGCCATAACCACGAACATTTCTCTCCATTGAGACTAGAATCACAATGAAAGAAAACAAAGTGTTTCAAGGCTTTATTTATTACAATTTTTAAGTTTGTTAGGAGAAATTCAGTCATAAACAAAAACGTTATTTTACCACGTAATTTTTATTAAATTAATTAAAACCTAATATTTAATTAACTCATGCTATTTTTTATGGACTTATGTATTTTTACGTTTTTATGAAGCATAAATAATATAAGTATTTTAACGTTTGAAAGTCTTTTCATTATATTATTTTAGATACATTTTTTTCATATTTGTTTTTATAGAAAAATAACTCCTAAATATTTAGAATTAAGTTTTATTATGATAATTTTTGGACTTTTTCTTTGAAAATCTAATATAAAAAACAATGTAATTAAAGACTACAAACACTGGTTTATAAAATTTGTTGCTTATAATAAAATGTTCAAGAAGTATACCTCGTTTGTATTAGCATTTCTTTGGCGGTTGCAAATACTCTGAAATTAAGGAAAACTTTAGTACTATATTTTGGAAAAAAGTTCTCTCAAATTGATTTTAAAATAAATCAACTTGATTTTGTTTTTTAAAACACCTCTATGTAATTCGAGAAAATCCCGATTTAAAAAAATAAATATTAGGAGTAAAACACTTTTTAAAACTAATAACTTTTATAAACTTTATTGAAAATATTTCAAAAATTATTTTGAAATTCATTTAAAAATGGTAAATTTTAAAATAAATTAAAAAATGAAATATATTTTTTAAAATTATTCAAAAATATTATTATATTTTATTAATTATAATTATTCTTGGTTTTTTCCTTTAAAAATCTAATATAAAAAGCAATGTAATTAAAGACTACATACACTGGTTTATAAAATTTGTCGCTCATAATAAAACATTCAAGAAGTATACCTTGTTTGTATTATCATTTCTTTTGCGGTTGCGAATACTCTGAAATTTAGGAAATTTTTAGTTCTCCATGTTAGAAAAAAGTACTCTTAAAATAAGAAATTTTTTAGTACTGACCCGTTTGCTTGGTTTCTAAAAAAAAAAAAATTTTTTTACAAATACAAAAGTTCAAGCAAAATATCTATTTATTTATTTAAGCATAATGTGATAAAGAATTCGAGACTTTGTGCCCTCATCAAGTAAGAATATTTACACTAAACATTTATGATTCATGATAGTATTAGAAATTAACTAAAAACAAGTATTCATACCTTGCACAACACGAGCAGTATAAATAACATAACAAAAACGTAACAGCAAGTTATCCATGTCGTTACTATTCGCTTTTTGTCAATTTTAAAATTTTAAAATTCGTTTAAGTTTAAAATTCGCATGTCGTTACTATTCGCAGTTTTTGTCAAAGATTGTCAATTTCTGAAACACTCATTTTACATAATTGCTATTTATAAACTAAAATTCTGAAACAATATGATTATAAAATAAATCAATTTAAGATTGTTTTTCAAAACACCTTTATGTAATTTAAAAAAAGCCCGATTTTAAAATGAATAATTAGAAGTGAAACGTTTTTTAAAACTAATAAGTTTTATGAACTTTATTTGAACTCTTTGAAAATATGTTTTAATTAATGTTTGTAGACATCTAAACTAGCATATTTTGTAAAAATGTCAAAAATGATTTTTTTTTATTTTGAGGTGTTTTGAAAATCGGTTTTAGTATAAGTCAATAACATATATTCAAAAACAATTGACTTTAATTTTAGGTACGTAAACAAATTACGTAAAAAAGGCAAATCGCACATTGTGTATTAAAAAAACTAATTAAAATGTACTTCTGTTTTGAAAGTATTTTCGAACGTATAAGTTTGCTTAACTTACGAAATTAATAAAACTTTATAAACGTAAAATTAAAAACATAAAACATAATTTAAGACTTTATCCAACAAGTAATATTTATTCTTTTCCTCACTTCATTTTTATAGCGCTTTTTTAACTAAAAAATGCCATTACCACGAACATTTCTCTCCATTGAGACTAGAATCACAATAAAAGAAAACAAAGTGTTTCAAGGCTTTATTTATTACAATTTTTAAGTTTGTTAGGAGAAATTCAGTCATAAACAAAAACGTTATTTTACCACGAAATTTTATTAAATTAATTAAAACCTAATATTTAATTAACTTATGCTATTTTTTATGTACTTATGTATTTTTACGTTTTTATGTAGCATAAATAATATAAGTATTTTTAAGTTTGAAAGTCTTTTCATTATAATATTTTAGTTACATTTTTTTCATATTTGTTTTAAAAGAAAAATAACTCCTAAATATTTAGAATTAAGTTTTATTATGATATTTTTTGGACTTTTTCTTTAAAAATCTAATATAAAAAACAATGTAATTAAAGACTACATACACTGGTTTATAAAATTTGTTGCTTATAATAAAATGTTCAAGAAGTATACCTCTTTTTTATTAGCATTTCTTTGGCGGTTGCAAATACTCTGAAATTAAGGAAAATTTTAGTACTATATTTTGGAAAAAAGTTCTCTCAAATTGATTTTAAAATAAATCAACTTGATTTTGTTTTTTAAAACACCTCTATGTAATTCGAGAAAATCCCGATTTAAAAAAATAAATATTAGGAGTAAAACACTTTTTAAAACTAATAACTTTTATGAACTTTTTTGAAAATATTTCAAAAATTATTTCGAAATTCATTTAAAAATGGTTTATTTTAAAATAAATTAAAAAATGAAATATATTTTTTAAAATTATTCAAAAATATTATTATATTTTATTAATTATAATTATTCTTGGTTTTTTCCTTTGAAAATCTAATATAAAAAGCAATGTAATTAAAGATTACATACACTGGTTTATAAAATTTGTTGCTCATAATAAAACATTCAAGAAGTATACCTTGTTTGTATTATCATTTCTTTGGCGGTTGCGAATACTCTGAAATTAAGGAAATTTTTAGTACTCCATCTTAGAAAAAAGTACTTTTAAAATAAGAAACGTTTTAGTACTGACCCGTTTGCTTGGTTTCTTAAAAAAAAAAAAATTTTTTTACAAATACAAAAGTTCAAGCAAAATATCTATTTATTTATTTAAGCATAATGTGATAAAGAATTCGAGACTTTGTGCCCTCATCAAGTAAGAATATTTACACTAAACATTTATGATTCATGATAGTATTAGAAATCAACTAAAAACAAGTATTCATACCTTGCACAACACGAGCAGTATAAATAACATAACAAAAACGTAACAGCAAGTTATCCATGTCGTTACTATTCGCTTTTTGTCAATTTTAAAATTTTAAAATTCGTTTAAGTTTAAAATTCGCATGTCGTTACTATTCGCAGTTTTTGTCAATGATTGTTAATTTCTGAAACACTCATTTTACATAATTGCTATTTATAAACTAAAATTCTGAAACAATATGATTATAAAATAAATCAATTTAAGATTGTTTTTCAAAACACCTTTATGTAATTTAAAAAAAGCCCGATTTAAAAATGAATAATTAGGAGTGAAACGTTTTTTAAAACTAATAAGTTTTATGAACTTTATTTGAACTCTTTGAAAATATGTTTTTATTAATGTTTGTAGACATCTAAACTAGCATATTTTGTAAAAATGTCAAAAATGATTTTTTTTTTTTTTGAGGTGTTTTGAAAATCGGTTTTAGTATAAGTCAATAACATATATTCAAAAACAATTGACTTTAATTTTAGGTACGTAAACAAATTACGTAAAAAAGGCAAATCGCACATTGTGTATTAAAAAAACTAATTAAAATGTACTTCTGTTTTGAAAGTATTTTCGAACGTATAAGTTTGCTTAACTTACGAAATTAATAAAACTTTATAAACGTAAAATTAAAAACATAAAACATAATTTAAGACTTTATCCGACAAGTAATATTTATTCTTTTCCTCACTTCATTTTTATAGCGCTTTTTTAACTAAAAAATGCCATTACCACGAACATTTCTCTCCATTGAGACTAGAATCACAATAAAAGAAAACAAAGTGTTTCAAGGCTTTATTTATTACAATTTTTAAGTTTGTTAGGAAAAATTCAGTCATAAACAAAAACGTTATTTTACCACGTAATTTTTATTAAATTAATTAAAACCTAATATTTAATTAACTTATGCTATTTTTTATGTACTTATGTATTTTTACGTTTTTATGTAGCATAAATAATATAAGTATTTTTAAGTTTGAAAGTCTTTTCATTATAATATTTTAGTTACATTTTTTTCATATTTGTTTTAAAAGAAAAATAACTCCTAAATATTTAGAATTAAGTTTTATTATGATAATTTTTGGACTTTTTCTTTAAAAATCTAATATAAAAAACAATGTAATTAAAGACTACATACACTGGTTTATAAAATTTGTTGCTTATAATAAAATGTTCAAGAAGTATACCTCGTTTGTATTAGCATTTCTTTGGCGGTTGCAAATACTCTGAAATTAAGGAAAATTTTAGTACTATATTTTGGAAAAAAGTTCTCTCAAATTGATTTTAAAATAAATCAACTTGATTTTGTTTTTTAAAACACCTCTATGTAATTCGAGAAAATCCCGATTTAAAAAAATAAATATTAGGAGTAAAACACTTTTTAAAACTAATAACTTTTATAAACTTTTTTGAAAATATTTCAAAAATTATTTTGAAATTCATTTAAAAATGGTAAATTTTAAAATAAATTAAAAAATGAAATATATTTTTTAAAATTATTCAAAAATATTATTATATTTTATTAATTATAATTATTCTTGGTTTTTTCCTTTGAAAATCTAATATAAAAAGCAATGTAATTAAAGACTACATACACTGGTTTATAAAATTTGTTGCTCATAATAAAACATTCAAGAAGTATACCTTGTTTGTATTATCATTTCTTTGGCGGTTGCGAATACTCTGAAATTAAGGAAATTTTTAGTACTCCACTTAGAAAAAAGTACTTTTAAAATAAGAAACTTTTTAGTACTGACCCGTTTGCTTGGTTTCTTAAAAAAAAAAAAATTTTTTTACAAATACAAAAGTTCAAGCAAAATATCTATTTATTTATTTAAGCATAATGTGATAAAGAATTCGAGACTTTGTGCCCTCATCAAGTAAGAATATTTACACTAAACATTTATGATTCATGATAGTATTAGAAATCAACTAAAAACAAGTATTCATACCTTGCACAACACGAGCAGTATAAATAACATAACAAAAACGTAACAGCAAGTTATCCATGTCGTTACTATTCGCTTTTTGTCAATTTTAAAATTTTAAAATTCGTTTAAGTTTAAAATTCGCATGTCGTTACTATTCGCAGTTTTTGTCAAAGATTGTTAATTTCTGAAACACTCATTTTACATAATTGCTATTTATAAACTAAAATTCTGAAACAATATGATTATAAAATAAATCAATTTAAGATTGTTTTTCAAAACACCTTTATGTAATTTAAAAAAAGCCCGATTTAAAAATGAATAATTAGGAGTGAAACGTTTTTTAAAACTAATAAGTTTTATGAACTTTATTTGAACTCTTTGAAAATATGTTTTTATTAATGTTTGTAGACATCTAAACTAGCATATTTTGTAAAAATGTCAAAAATGATTTTTTTTTATTTTGAGGTGTTTTGAAAATCGGTTTTAGTATAAGTCAATAACATATATTCAAAAACAATTGACTTTAATTTTAGGTACGTAAACAAATTACGTAAAAAAGGCAAATCGCACATTGTGTATTAAAAAAACTAATTAAAATGTACTTCTGTTTTGAAAGTATTTTCGAACGTATAAGTTTGCTTAACTTACGAAATTAATAAAACTTTATAAACGTAAAATTAAAAACATAAAACATAATTTAAGACTTTATCCGACAAGTAATATTTATTCTTTTCCTCACTTCATTTTTATAGCGCTTTTTTAACTAAAAAATGCCATTACCACGAACATTTCTCTCCATTGAGACTAGAATCACAATAAAAGAAAACAAAGTGTTTCAAGGCTTTATTTATTACAATTTTTAAGTTTGTTAGGAGAAATTCAGTCATAAACAAAAACGTTATTTTACCACGTAATTTTTATTAAATTAATTAAAACCTAATATTTAATTAACTTATGCTATTTTTTATGTACTTATGTATTTTTACGTTTTTATGTAGCATAAATAATATAAGTATTTTTAAGTTTGAAAGTCTTTTCATTATAATATTTTAGTTACATTTTTTTCATATTTGTTTTAAAAGAAAAATAACTCCTAAATATTTAGAATTAAGTTTTATTATGATAATTTTTGGACTTTTTCTTTGAAAATCTAATATAAAAGACAATGTAATTAAAGACTACATACACTGGTTTATAAAATTTGTTGCTTATAATAAAATGTTCAAGAAGTGTACCTCGTTTGTATTAGCGTTTACATTTCTTTGGCGGTTGCAAATACTGTGAAATTAAGGAAAATTTTAGTACTATATTTTATAAAAAAGTACTCTTAAAATGATTATAAAATAAATCAACTTGATATTGTTTTTTAAAACACCTCTATGTAATTCGAGAAAATCCCGATTTAAAAAAATAAATATTAGGAGTAAAACACTTTTTAAAACTAATGACTTTTATAAACTTTTTTGAAAATATTTAAAAAATTATTTTGAAATTTATTTAAAAATGGTTTATTTTAAAATAAATTTAAAAATGAAATATATTTTTTAAAATTATTCAAAAATATTATTATATTTTATTAATTATAATTATTTTTGGTTTTTTCCTTTGAAAATCTAATATAAAAAGCAATGTAATTAAAGACTACGTACACTAGTTTATAAAATTTGTTGCTCATAATAAAACATTCAAGAAGTATACCTTGTTTGTATTATCATTTCTTTGGCGGTTGCGAATACTCTGAAATTAAGGAAATTTTTAGTACTCCATCTTAGAAAAAAGTACTCTTAAAATAAGAAACTTTTTAGTACTGACCCGTTTGCTTGGTTTCTTAAAAAAAAAAAAAATTTTTTTACAAATACAAAAGTTCAAACAAAATATCTATTTATTTATTTAAGCATAATGTGATAAAGAATTAGAGACTTTGTGCCCTCATCAAGTAAGAATATTTACACTAAACATTTATGATTCATGATAGTATTAGAAATCAACTATTATCAAGTATTCATACCTTGCACAACACGAGCAGTATAAATAACATAACAAAAACGTAACAGCAAGTTATCCATGTCGTTACTAACTAGTTTTTGTCAAAGATTGTCAATTTCTAAAACACTCATATTACATAATTGCTATTTATAAACTAATATTCAGAAACTATATGATTATAAAATAAATCAATTCAAGATTGTTTTTCAAAACACCTTTATGTAATTTGAAAAAAGCCTAATTTAAAAATAAATTATTAGGAGTGAAACGTTTTTATAAAACTAATAAGTTTTATGAATTTTACTTGAACTCTTTGAAAATATGTTTTTATTAATGTTTGTAGACATCTAAACTAGCATATTTTGTAAAAATGTCAAAAATGATTTTATTTTTTTTAAGGTGTTTTGAAAAACGGTTTTAGTATAAGTCAATAACATATTTTCAATAACAATTGACTTTAATTTTAGGAACGTAAAAAAGGCAATTCGCATATTGTGTATTAAAATAACTTATTAAAATGTTCTTTTGTTTTGAAAGTATTTTCGAACGTATAAGTTTGCTTAAATTACGAAATTAATAAAACTTTATAAACGTAAAATTAAAAACATAAAACATAATTTAAGACTTTATCCGACAAGTAATATTTATTCTTTTCCTCACTTCATTTTTATAGCGCTTTTTTAACTAAAAAATGCCATTACCACGAACATTTCTCTCCATTGAGACTAGAATCACAATAAAAGAAAACAAAGTGTTTCAAGGCTTTATTTATTACAATTTTTAAGTTTGTTAGGAGAAATTCAGTCATAAACAAAAACGTTATTTTACCACGTAATTTTTATTAAATTAATTAAAACCTAATATTTAATTAAGTTATGCTATTTTTTATGTACTTATGTATTTTTACGTTTTTATGTAGCATAAATAATATAAGTATTTTAACGTTTGAAAGTCTTTTCATTATAATATTTTAGTTACATTTTTTTCATGATTGTTTTAAAAGAAAAATAACTCCTAAATATTTAGAATTAAGTTTTATTATGATAATTTTTGGACTTTTTCTTTGAAAATCTAATATAAAAAACAATGTAATTAAAGACTACATACACTGGTTTATAAAATTTGTTGCTTATAAAAAAATGTTCAAGAAGTATACCTCGTTTGTATTAGCATTTCTTTGGCGGTTGCAAATACTCTGAAATTAAGGAAAATTTAGGACTATATTTTGGAAAAAAGTTCTCTCAAATTGATTTTAAAATAAATCAACTTGATTTTGTTTTTTAAAACACCTCTATGTAATTCGAGAAAATCCCGATTTAAAAAAATAAATATTAGGAGTAAAACACTTTTTAAAACTAATAACTTTTATAAACTTTTTTGAAAATATTTCAAAAATTATTTTGAAATTCATTTAAAAATGGTAAATTTTAAAATAAATTAAAAAATGAAATATATTTTTTAAAATTATTCAAAAATATTATTATATTTTATTAATTATAATTATTCTTGGTTTTTTCCTTTGAAAATCTAATATAAAAAGCAATGTAATTAAAGACTACATACACTGGTTTATAAAATTTGTTGCTCATAATAAAACATTCAAGAAGTATACCTTGTTTGTATTATCATTTCTTTGGCGGTTGCGAATACTCTGAAATTAAGGAAATTTTTAGTACTCCATCTTAGAAAAAAGTACTTTTAAAATAAGAAACTTTTTAGTACTGACCCGTTTGCTTGGTTTCTTGAAAAAAAAAAAAATTTTTTACAAATACAAAAGTTCAAGCAAAATATCTATTTATTTATTTAAGCATAATGTGATAAAGAATTCGAGACTTTGTGCCCTCATCAAGTAAGAATATTTACACTAAACATTTATGATTCATGATAGTATTAGAAATCAACTAAAAACAAGTATTCATACCTTGCACAACACGAGCAGTATAAATAACATAACAAAAACGTAACAGCAAGTTATCCATGTCGTTACTATTCGCTTTTTGTCAATTTTAAAATTTTAAAATTTGTTTAAGTTTAAAATTCGCATGTCGTTACTATTCGCAGTTTTTGTTAAAGATTGTCAATTTCTGAAACACTCATTTTACATAATTGCTATTTATAAACTAAAATTCTGAAACAATATGATTATAAAATAAATCAATTTAAGATTGTTTTTCGAAACACCTTTATGTAATTTAAAAAAAGCCCGATTTAAAAATGAATAATTAGGAGTGAAACGTTTTTTAAAACTAATAAGTTTTATGAACTTTATTTGAACTCTTTGAAAATATGTTTTAATTAATGTTTGTAGACATCTAAACTAGCATATTTTGTAAAAATGTCAAAAATGATTTTTTTTTATTTTAAGGTGTTTTGAAAATCGGTTTTAGTATAAGTCAATAACATATATTCAAAAACAATTGACTTTAATTTTAGGTACGTAAACAAATTACGTAAAAAAGGCAAATCGCACATTGTGTATTAAAAAAACTAATTAAAATGTACTTCTGTTTTGAAAGTATTTTCGAACGTATAAGTTTATCTTAACTTACGAAATTAATAAAACTTTATAAACGTAAAATTAAAAACATAAAACATAATTTAAGACTTTATCCGACAAGTAATATTTATTCTTTTCCTCACTTCATTTTTATAGCGCTTTTTTAACTAAAAAATGCCATTACCACGAACATTTCTCTCCATTGAGACTAGAATCTCAATAAAAGAAAACAAAGTGTTTCAAGGCTTTATTTATTACAATTTTTAAGTTTGTTAGGAGAAATTCAGTCATAAA